GCCTTTTGTTGGATTGATACTTGTGATGAAACAACCAATCAGAGTGGATAAACAACAAGGACAGTGCAGCGAACCAACCTAGAATCTATTGCTGAACAACTATACGGAAGGAAACGAAAGTGGATTGAACATACGCTGAGGAGACATCACATGCAAGACCGTCAACTGAAGCTGAATAGAAAGCAATGCGTTGAGCTGAGGGTGACATGAAAGAGCTCATATGAAGTGGAAATAAAAGCTTGTTGGAAGTCGCGTAGACAGCTAGAAATAATGATAGAGGACGGAGTGCTATGAAGGTGTGTTGCTGATACCCTACTTTTCATTCAGAAAACAAGGAACAAATAGTAATAAATACAGCAGTAATACAAACAAATTTATGGTCCCTCAAACGAAGAAAGAATCATACCTGAACGTATTAACGTATGATTATTTCATTATTCCATTCCAGTTCTTGTAGAGTGAGGCCTATGTCTTCCTTCTTTGTCAGCTTGACGAAGTAGCCTTTCTTCCTATCGGTAGGTACCTATCCTTCTTTCCAAACCTTTTGGAATAATGGCGTGAGGACATCTACCGCAGTCTCTGGGTCCGTTTTCAGTGTTCCGGAGGAGGGAATAAACTCCGTCTGGTCCTGCTGCCTTCCGACTGGCCTTGAGTAGATGGGTCGCATTCAGGATTTCTGCTTTGGTTGGAGGATTGGTGTCTACTGGCAGGCACTCGTGTGCGTGGTGTTGGTGGTATCTCTGGGCGAGTTGCAGGTGATGGTCGATTCAAGAGTCCCTTAAAGTGATCAACCCACTGTTTTATTTGTTTCTCCTTCTTGGTAATCAGGTCACCTTGAACATCTTTTATTGGTTTCATCATCTGGGTTGATGTCTTCCTGAATAGAGACCTGATCATCTGATATAATGTCCTGAGGTCTATTTTATCTTTAGCCTCTCTGTTCTGCTTCAGTTGTCAGTTAGTGTGTTGTAGAATTGTCGTTTGTCTTTTCTTGCACTCTTCTTCACTTCTTTATTCAGTGCAGTGTTCCTTGAACTCAGCTTCTCCTTCCGTTGTCCATCTTTGCATTGAGTCATCTTCTTTTTCCCTATCCTCCTCTCTTCTACTAGCTTCTAGGTAGTCGTCCGTTGAGAGTCATTCTTTGTCTTATCTCTTCCTTCTTCCTAGAACAGTTGTACGCGTTTCCGTGGATATCATCTTCAGAGAGTTATTGCCAGTGTCCTTCCACACAGGTTTCCTCGGTGATACCACGTAGTGTCTCCGTCTTCGCTTTGATCTGAAAGCTGCATTGAAAGTGTCTCTTGTAGTTTTGCCCTTCAGTTTCTGGATGTTGAACTTGAATTGTGGTCCGTCTGCAGTTGCTTTGAGGGATCTCAGCTTCGGCTTGAAGGTTCCTCGAACTAGAAGATTGCGTGAGTGAGCCCACATCTGCTCACTTTTTCGACTTTGTGTCCAGCAGATTGGCTGTGTCTCCACTTCATCATTATTCAGATGAAGTCTATCTGGTTTGTGGTGTGTCCGTCAGACGAAATCCATGTTGCCTTGTGTCTATCCTTGTGTTTGTACAAGCTGCCTCAGATCTTTAAGTGACTGAAGGCGCAGAGGTTTGTGAAGAGTTCTCCGTTATCACTTATTTCACCGAGCAAGAGCCTCTCGACCCATGGTGAGTTCTCTTTCTGTATTGTCTGCTTCCATTTCAGCTGGCATTCATATCGCCCATAAGGATTTTGATGCCTGCATGTGGCTGGTGTCTTGTCCATTACTGTTTGTAGATGTCTGTAAAAATCCTCCATCTTTTCTTGTTCCTCAATGAACGAAATATTCACATATTGAGTCATAAGAAAAAGGCACAAACAGCGAAGAAAATTTTCTTTTCGACGATTCATTTTCATGAGCTGTACAATCGTAATTATAATTAACAAAGAAATCTTTAGACCAATCAGATACTGGTAAATTTTTGTCTTTGGAAAATTGTATTACATAATGTAAGGTGTAAGAAGGGATGACTAAATGTAAGTTAGAAAGGAGACAGAAGTTGGTATGACGTAGTAAGCGTGAGATAATGAATAATCAATAAGCTCGTGTAAAATGGACAGGAACTAGTGGAAAGGCTATAAAGTGTTTTTGTATAGAATATGTATGAAAAGCAATGTTACTAATAAACAGTAATAGAGTAGTAATAAAATGTGGATGATGGGAATAATAATGATAATAAAAGTATTAATAAAATAAAATAATAATAATAATAATAGTGAACTTACGTAATAAAAGAAAGAAGCAAAATTGTGGTAAGAAATTTACTCTGGCCACGGTAGGGCAAAAGAATGTATGTATCGCTTTTGGATGCAGAGGTTCGGTTTCAGATCTCGAATAGCTAATGCTTCAGCTGTGTACAGATGGTGTATCCGAAGTCCCTTTGTACGATATTGAGGGACTCTGTGTAACACTGTGAAGCGTTCATGTGGGGGTGCTCGATGTCCAGAGATGACAAGGTGTTCGAGGATCGAGCTGTTGCTTCTTTCCTTCATTATGTAAGTTCACTATTATTATTATTATTATTTTATTTTATTAATACTTTTATTATCATTATTATTCCCATCATCCACATTTTATTACTACTCTATTACTGTTTATTAGCAACATTGCTTTTCATACATATTCTATACAAAAACACTTTATAGCCTTTCCACTAGTTCCTGTCCATTTTACACGAGCTTATTGATTATTCATTATCTCACGCTTACTACGTCATACCAACTTCTGTCTCCTTTCTAACTTACATTTAGTCATCCCTTCTTACACCTTACATTATGTAATACAATTTTCCAAGGACAAAAATTTACCAGTATCTGATTGGTCTAAAGATTTCTTTGTTAATTATAATTACGATTGTACAGCTCATGAAAATGAATCGTCGAAAAGAAAATTTTCTTCGCTGTTTGTGCCTTTTTCTTGTTCCGCATTGTTTGTAGCACTGTGCGTAGCATTGGATAATTGTGACCTTCCTTCCTTCCTTTTGTGTTGAGTCTTGCTGTCATGATCCTGGATGAGGAGATTGGTTCCCATTGCATTATGACTTTTGCTGCTACTGGTGACATCGTGACTGGCACTCGCTGCCTCAGTGTGCTCGTGGTTGTCGTCTGGGTGACCGGAGCGAAGTAGATTACTGACTCTGCAGTTGACAAATTCCATAGTCCCCATCCATTGCATCTGCTCTCGCAGATTCCCAGCACTTCCATACCATATCATCTCAGTGTCTTACATTCCACGTCCACGTCCCCATTCTTACTCTAGCTTTGATCGACAATGGACTCTCACCAGCCAGCTGTGTCATTTCGCCTCTCCAATTTGAGCGAAGAATGAGATTGTTGTAATTTGAACTTCTTATATTTTTAATATATTTTTGTGCTTTGATGTTTCTGTAACAGTTTGGTAGGTTTAGTGGTGTTTGATTTGTACCCCCACGCCCAACCCTCCCTCTTTACTCTGGCTTGGGGCCGGCTAGAAAACTAGCATGCTAGTTAACTAGGGGAAGTTAAATGTCAAGTAGATATGCAGTTATTCTCTTCCCCATAATTTGTATTTCAAATCACTTTGTAGTTAATGTGCATATATCTGCAACAGAATATATTGTGCATACATGCCTTGCAATAATAATTAAGCTGATATATATTCTTCACTGTATTGTATCATTGATTGCGTTTATGCGGTTGCTCATTACAACGTTACTCATTCATCTGGAATTAAATTTTTTTTAAAGATGAAAAGTATGAAGAAGTTACTATTGGCTGTGATGAATCCGAATAAATTTCGTGCCTGTGAATATCTTATCCGTTATTACGAAAGAAGAAACGATAAGATTATTGTATTCGCTGATAATGTATTCGCTTTGAAATATTATGCTACAAAAATGGGACGACCATTTCTATACGGTCCAACTGGTCAAGCAGAACGTATGCAAATATTACAGTATTTTCAGCATAATCCTAATGTGAGTAATTCTTGTTTTATTGTTTATCGTGTCGTCGACATCACTGTTCTGCTGCTGCCTCTGCATATTCTGCCTATTCTTCTCCTTTTCGCCAATCTTTTTTTAATGATACAAGTGAGATTTTCTTCACGCGTAATCTACTTGTCTGCATGATTATTCCTTTATTTTATGTTTATACATGTTGAAATCTTAGGTCAACCGAAAAAAAAAGATAAACAATAACACTTGTCTCCTGTTTAGCCTTTCGCTTATCTAATCCAAACTAAAATAATAGAAATGTCAATAAAGGTGTATGTGTGCAGTAAAACAGCGGTAATATGTATAATTGTTGTTGTTGTTGTTGTTGTTACTGTTCTTGTTCTTGCTGTCATTATTGTTACGTTTATCTTTGTTGTTGTTGTTGTTGCTGCTGCTGCACCCAGTTGCTCAGGTCATATTGTGTATACAATATGCTTGGTTTCATGTATCATATTGTGTGTTGGGTTGTGTTAGTGTACTCTCCATTTTTTCAGTCTGAAGTGTTATTCTTATCAAAATACAAACTTGTTAGATTGTAAGCGCCAAATGATACACTGGGATACTGCCCAAATAAATAAAATTGTTTCTGAATGTGTTTTTTTATCGGTTTGCGTATATCTCAAAATTTGTTTCTTCCTTTTTTCAACAACAAAAAACAAACTTATTAGGTGCCAACAATATTTGTATCCAAAGTTGCTGACAACTCTTTTGACTTATCCGAAGCAACAGTACTCATTCAAATCAGTGCTCATGGTGGTAGTCGTCGTCAAGAAGCTCAACGTTTGGGTCGTATTCTGCGAGCGAAACGAGGAATGGATGCTGAAGCCTAAAATGCATTCTTCTATTCACTAGTGTCTCAAGATACTATGGAAATGCAGTATGCTTTGAAACGTCAACGTTTCTTAGTCAATCAAGGATATGCATATAAAGTGAGTAACAATGCAAATCTCTTTTTTATGGTTTCCGTTAAGAGAGCACATGCTTCTTGTGCCACTCTAAATTTTAGTTCCTCATGTAATATTTTCTGTAGTATAACGAAACTACTGAATAACATGATTATTTAAAAACTAAAAATATTCCACCTCTTGATGAGATTAGTGTTGGTGACATCAACAGTCTCAGTTATGTAACTCGTTTAGTTTCATAGTTGAAAATTACAAATGTCGGTAAGGTGATTCCAGCTTTTCGAACTTGGATTCTTCTTCCTACACTATTGATAAGCTTCTCTGTTAACAGGCTGAATGTGTCTGTCCAGTTTTGCAATGGTTCTAATTGATTTAAGTGAAAGATGCAAACTGTCCATTTCAACAAAAACATGTATGATTTATTAACTTCTGATAAATGGTATGTAATATTTCACAGCATTGTTTATTGACTATAGGGGTAAACTCTTTGAGTCATTAAATTTTGTAAGTACATCCTTGTTTGTAAGGCATTCGGTGCGAATTCGCTCTTTCTGTTTCGTGAGTATTTATTTTGTGTCTGTCAGGAAAGTCTAGTGTCTCGGTTTTTCTTTTATTTCATCATAGATGTACTAATGCATATAACTCTAATTGACCTTAGCGATTTACTGATTCTCTTGTTACCAACCAGTGCATAGTCTCGTCTATTTAAAATGTATAGATGATATTGTCCTTCTAGGTGAAGATGCTGACAAATGCTGAGTCTTCTGAACACCTTCGGCAGAAATCCTCGGATGCTTTGCATGCAATTCGCCCTTGTCAAGTGTAAGATGATGTCACAGGACTAGACTACACTGACTTGTAGTTTAAAGAGAGTAGGAGAAGTGATTGAGCGTTTCGATCACTTAACTTATTCGAGAAGTTGCATAAACCCTGGTGGACTGATTGCTGACGTAATCTCAGTATGGATGCAAAAGCGTTGTTCAGCACTTCCGAACTTACGCCATCTCTGGTGTAGACGGGATATCCGACTGTTGATCATAGGGTATATTTACTGCACAGCAGTACGTCTGCTGGAGATGGCCGTTGAGAGTGGAGGACCTGAAGTGGCTAGCTTTGATCATGGATGTTTGTGTTCCATCTTCCGTGTTAAGTGGTGAGAATTTACTGAGTAATTTTGAGATTAGACGTAGAGTGTTAGATAGGGATCGCAATGCAGTAGTTTAGGTAGTGAAGCTACTTCAACTGAGATGGTTAGGTCGCATTTATGGCACGCCAAGCCATCGTCGCTTCGGAAATCAAAACGTGGCATCAGTCCATGTTTGTTGTTTGGAGCTACGTTTGGGTGTGGAGACTTCGTAACTGGGGTCCTCGGGATGATAAGAACCGATAATTAGAGACTATCGGCTAAATGCTTCATAGTCGTTCTCAATGGCTCAGATGCATCTGCTTTTTATAAACTCTCAGATCTGTCAAATTGTGATTATTCCAACCTGTACTCTTTCTCTCTCCCACACATTTCTGTTCATTATAGATCCTTTGAATTTTTCTTCACTTGTCACCTTTGTGCAGTATGAAAACGATGCTGGTGTCAGTAAATAGAATTGTTACAGTGATTATTAGTGAAATGGTAGACACGATAGTTAATATGGTTCATGCAGATGATATCTACTTTCTACACCTTATGTATGTTTTCTTCTAGCTTATTTTCCGTATATTGAACCGATAATTCTCTTTTTCTCCTCTATATATCTTTGGCCGTCTCTTACTACTCACCCACTCATATTCATCTGTATAAATAGCATAGACAACAGTTATAGTAGTAAGGCCTTTTGTGCCACCATGATAACTAAAAAGAAATCGTATGTATATGTAAATAAAATTGTTCTGGTGTTTTATTCCTCCGTGAACTACTGCTGAACTTGAAGTGGCATTGGTGATACCACGACTGGTGTAGAAAACTTTGCTAAGAAAATCCAGAGCTCAGAATACTACCTTCTTCCCAACATCGCCTGCGAATAGAACAAGAAATGATGCTAAATTAACTGCATTCAACTGTTTACAAGACTTAAGATGTCTTTGCATAATCGTGTTCATTACTAGCTTAATTAGCAAAGCCTGCTCAACATGCAGTAGTACAGACAAGAGGAAATAGCGGAGATGAGTAGCAGAAACGTAGCAACTGTCTGAAAAGTAAAACTAGAAGGTGACTTACTTCATAGACTTATAGCTTCCTTATATAAACAAACAGTGAAGCAACAGATTTTCTACGTAATCAACTGGACATGGGAGAATTGAGAAAGGTTTGAGGTAAAGCATGAAACTAGATGGATCACATATGATTTATTTTTTTGACTACAGGAGTCAAGGGTCTGAAGCAGTTCTTACAAATCTTATCGACATTTGAAGCTGGAATTAACAGTCCAACATTTAGAAGTATTGAGTATGGCAGCATTCAAGGGATTGTTTTAAGAATTCACTAGGCTATTGATAGTCTGATGAAAAAATGGCCGAAATAGCTGGCTACTATCAACTCTGTAGGGTACTGAATAATGTTAGTGAAAAAGCCTAGTCATGTGAAAATAAAGAGTGGAGAAATGAGGAAACAAAAGCCTTTCAATACATATAAGTTTCACAAGGTTTTGAAGTAGGAGATTTTCCTGTGTATACATTGTACTACTTATATCAAGTGTTTCTACGTCCACTTTATCTCTTGTTCCTGAAAGAGATTTGATTCATCATGAAAAAGGGTGGATGTAGTAGGAAGCTGTTCAATCTGCCTTTTTTTTCTGCTCCAGCTCATTGGTTGTTACTTGAAATGATATGTGGTTGTGTTAGGTGGCATACATTTTGTGACTAGTCCTCAAAACACTATGGAATTTATACTGGACTGAAATTTAACACTTCAACTCCTTTCACCTTGAAATCTTTCCTCAACAGAAACCAGAACAATAACCTTTGTGAAGTTGTCTAATTCGTATTAATTCAGTTGTCCTCCTTATCGTATTTTTCTGTCCATGCTTAAATTTCAATAATGCTATGTGTGTAAGCCGATATTATGTTCTTAAGTATACTATCTCGTTTTTCTAGTCTATGTAACAGTTGAATTTCAAATCTATAGATCTATGTGAGGTTGAGAGCTAATTTAGTGCGAACCGTCAGTGTTCTCCAGTCATAGGCCAGTAGATTAGAACATTAGAAAAAGTGCATTGAATCTGTCTATTTATTGCACCTTTATACATTCAGTAAATTTCTGTTCCACTGAACTAATCGCTTGACTTCGTTATTTTAATTTTCTGTGTAATCAGTAAAGTTTTAGTTATTTACCAGCCATAACAAATTGATTGTATGGTATCGTGTTGTTTGAAAGTGAACTCGATTTCTTAATTGACTTATTTTTGAAATCACCGGATAGTTAAAAGTACTTCTCTTCAGTATGCTCTTTTTTTTATCTGTACACGTAATCTCTATGCTTCACTTCTTTTCTCATTGTGTGGATTTCATTCTGTTCATCAACTTGTGTGTTTATAAGAATGTCGAGAAAAAGGTGGAGAGATTCAGACTTGTAATTTGCAAATTACACAACTTTTGGGTGAAATCTCACCACAGTCTCCTTTGGAAACCGAAATTGTTCAGATAAAAATATATATATGATATGTTTGTTAATATAAACAGAAACCAAGGAAACAAGCCTGCAAACATCACAGCATATGCTACTGTCTGGCTAGTATGAATAGTTTTTGATACAACTGACATCGACCAGCAGTGCTCGCTAGTCAGATCAAAGTGGTGTGAACACAGGCGTTTCGCTCGCTTGCAACCGAGTTCATCAGAAGTTTACCTATTTGTAAATCAATTCGGAGAGTCGAACTAGTTCAAAACACGCGAAGAGAGAGAGAGACTTTCTTGACTTCAAATCATGTGTGGTGTCGCTGGACAGAAATTAGTTTCGCATATATTTCTCGACTTAAAATTTTCAGTATAAGAATCTTGACACTACATATTTAGTCCGAGTTTATCAGCCTTGAAAAACAAACTGTCTTTTTCACCCAACAGTGGTTCGTGGGTGTTCATTCAATTCCTCTATCTCTTTTTGTTATAACAGGATGGCCTCACTAATTCTTTTAAAATCCACTTAAATTATTAATGTATGTATATATAACTAATCAGGAGCTATCTTGCTGATTCATCTATTAGTTTAATCAACCAACCTACAGCTGCTTGTGTATGTGAAATGAATTGTTTAATCCCGAATAGGAAATGCTAAACGAAATGTTTCCTTTTCTTTCCCCCTTTCAAAGATTTCTTTGTTTACTAGTCAAATATTTATTTACTGTGCTGTTGTCGTTGTCGATAGCAATCTGTCGAAATCATTTTTTTTTTCCATTGAGTTGTTGTTTCGCCAACTTTTCAATCCTTTGACCTTTATTTAATATATATTTATCCAGGAAGAAGAAAAGATAAATAAAGTTACTTATATATTACCTGATAAATTGATAAACATGTTTGTTTTTATTATTATTATTATTGTTCCCTTGGGTTCCTAGTGGAACATAGGGCTTCAACTGCACGCCTCCACTTGCTTCTGTCTTGTGCTGTACTTTTCACTTGCGTCCATGTTATTCCATACTGTTTCAACTCCCCTTCACACGATCTCCTCCATGTCACCCTTGGACGTCCCACTCGCCGCTTCCCTTTCGGGTTCCACTCGAGCACTGGCCTGACGCGCGATGTCACCCAACGGCCTCCTCAGCGAGTGTCCAATCCATCTCCACTTTCTCCTGCATATTTGTTGGGCGATTGGTTCCTGTTTCGTTTGTTCCCATAGTTTCTTGTTGGTGATTCTTTCCGGCCATCTGATCTTCAGTATGGAGCGAAGACAGTTGTTGATGAAGGTCTGCAACAGGCTGTTGGAAATATTCTTTGTGACTCGCCAAGTTTCTGATCCGTAAAGCAAAACTGACTTCACGTTTGTATTGAAAATCCGAATTTTGTTGTTGATTGTGAGTGACGAAGATTTCCAGATT